TTGGGGACTGGGCGTGGTACTTGAAAGAGGAGGGTTATTATTTATTTTGGTGTTTTTTTCCGTTTTGTTTTTTTTTGGGATTCCTGGTTCCTTGCTTTGCTCTGCTCCTCTGCTTTTCTGCTTCTCTGCTTTTCCCCTTTTTGCTTCTCTGCTTTTGCTTTTCTGCTTTTCCCTGCTTCCTTGTTTTTCTGCTTCTTTGCTTTGCTGCTTCTCTGCTTTTGCGCTTTTTGCTTTTCTGCTTTTTCCAGCTTCTTTACTTGTCTGCTTTTCTGCTTGTTCGCTTCTCTGATTTTCTGTTTTTTTCTACATTTTGGTTTTTGTTTGCTTGTTCGCTTTGCCTGCTTCTCTGCTTTTTGTGTATTTTTCTCTTTTGCTTTTCTGCTTTTTCTTTGTGCTTCTCTGCTTTTTTGTTTTTTTCTGCTTTTCTGAGTTTTTGCGTATTTTTTTTTTTGCTGTTCTGTTTTTCGTTTTTTGTTTCAATGCTGCTTTGTTTCTTTGCTTTTCTTGTTTTTTGTTTCTTTGCTGTCTTGTTTTTGAACTTTGTTTGTGTCTTTTCCTTTGTTTGGTCGCCTGGTGACTCCTGGTGGCTTCTGTGGCTTCTGTGGCTTCTGTGGCTTCTGTGGCTTCTGCGGCTTCTGCGGCTTGTGCTTTCTATGGCTTGGCTTCTACGGCTCCTGGCTCCTATAGCTCCTCGGTCCTATGGCTCATCTATCATCTATCGATTAATCTATCAGTGAAGCATGTTCACCAGGTGCATGTTGTGCATTAGACACACCTTGAGTATCATCCATCTATATATCCATCCATCCATCCATCCATCCATCCAGCCAGCCAGCCAGCCAGCCATCCATCCATCCATCTGCCCATCTGTCTATCAGCTGTCTATCATGTCTATCTTTCTGTCTATCTTTTATATCTATCTATATATCTATATCAGTTTCTATTTCTACATATATCTATATCTACCTCTACATCTATATCTATATATCTATCTAAAAGGTCTGCATTATCATCGAGATGATATTCAAACCCCAAGCCACCCTTGAACCAAACCAGAATATATATATGTTATGTTATGTTATGTTATGTATATATACATATGTATATATCCAGGACGTTCTTTGTGACCTCTTTTAGAGGTCACTTAGACCAAAAAGAAAAAAATGCCACTTATAACATACTGGTTTGCCAAGTGACCTCTTTTCTTCTTTGCGAAGTTACCTTTTTGTGGGTTTGAGTTTCCCAAATGGGGCTTGGATATAGGTTCCGCGCTACTTCCCTCACCTGTTACAGTCCTTTGGGGCTTAGATTGCGATTGCCTCCTTGTAATGCGTGTCAAAGCGTGTCAAGCGTGTCCGAAAAAGGTCACTTAGGCCACAGTGCAGGATTTGGGTCGACATACTTATTTTCATCCTAAACAAATTTAAAGCCTGGAAATCAGACCTGACGGATCCTAAGGCTGGTTAAGTGACCTCTTTGATAGTCTAAGTGACCCTTTGATAAATGGCTAAATGGCCTTTTGATATGATTTTATCTAAGTGATCTTCTCCAGGAGGTTAAATATGAAAAAACGAAAGGGTCACATTGAGTGGTTTGTTATATATATATATTATACAGTACACCAACCTTATATATCAAGAGATCTCGAACTCCAATGAAACTATTGTGCATCATTGTGCCTTAACCTACCTTCCACATGTTTCCAGGGTGCGTGACAATAGGTGTTTCCAATGTGCTTTGGGTGGAGGCGCTGCGCCCTTGTTCAGCCCTCCCCCCAATCCCCCCCTCCCGTTTTTTGTATTTAAGTTCGAACTTGCACACTTTTCAATAAATTTATGGTTGTTTATGTACATTGCTTTCATACCCAAATAAGCTGTAAATAATCATGTGCATGCATATGCATCCACAAAATTTATTGTTATCTGTATGTACATCTTGTATCCCTAAATAACCCCTGATCCAACCCTAAACAAAACCTAAGCAGACCCTAAAAGAACAACAAGAACAACAATAACAAGAACAACAACAACAACAACAACAACAAAGCAACAACAACAACAAAGCAACAACAACAACAACAACAACAACAACAACAACAACAACAACAACAACAACAACAACAAAGCAACAACAAAGCAACAAAGCAACAACAAAGCAACAAAGCAACAAACCAACATACGTTGGTAAAAATCAACACCAAGACCAACACAACCAGCAAGGGAAACAACAACAGCATGTATGGAAAACATCGCACTGCAAAATGCTCCAAATTCGATGGAAAAGAGAGTTGGATTCAAAAGTGACACAAAACCGTTGAAATGACAGCTTCCAGCGCCAAAATGCTGCAGATTCCATGAAAATGATGCAAAAACTATGGATAAAGAAAGGTTCGAAGTCAAAAAAATAGGTTCGAGGTCAAAAATGCTGCAAATACCGTGGCAATAGCAGCTTCCAGGCTCAAAATGCTGCAAATAGCAAGGAAAATGGACAGAACAGGAAATATAAAAAAAGACAAAACGGAAAAAAGAAAAACAATTTGAGACCCCTTAAAAGATCTCGGAAGAGGGTTGCAAAGATTCTGCTCAACGGGAAGTGTAGCAGTTTATGTTTATGATGTTGCCCCATTTCTCCATCAATACAAGTAGCTCCAGAATCTCAAGGAATGTAGGAATCCAGGATAATCCAGGATCCAGGATGTAATTTGTTAACCTGTCAACTACTCGTTGTCACTATAGAATGAAGGAAAGTGTCGAAATGTGTCGAAGGCACAGCATCCCACGGGCACGACTGGGCACCAGGATGGTGAGCCGACCATGACTGGCCTGGAGGCAAGCTCTTGAGGTGAGCATGAGATGGACAGTGTCGTTCAGTGTCCAACAGTGTGACTCAACCGTCCCAACCTTGACCGCACAGCAACAAGTATCCCTACTACAGTGGTTTGGAGGGTCACGGCTTAGGAGGGTTGAAACTTAAGACACAACAGAACACACATGCCGCCACCCTAACATAGTTTTGCAGTATTTTGCAGTAATGATTTGTCACATCTGCCATTAGCTGTCATTGAAGACAGATGACATTCATGTCGAGTCAGACATGTGGGGTAGCTTGGATGAGGACAGCCCTTGTCGTGCCATTTTGGCTCAAGGCTGCCAACTTCTCCAAATCGCACCACAGGGGGGGATGTCTCAGGGAGTGGTGGTCTGGACGTGTGAGAATACTGAGGAAGAGACCTCTCTTCTGACGGTGCTCGCCATTGTCTGGGCCATCACTTTCCTCGTGGGCTCTCTCTGTGGAGTGTGGTTTGAGAGGTCGCGGTCAAGTAAAACCCCGGCTCGGTCTGCCGCGTTTGCGTCCTGGGAACGGGTGACTGTGAGAGCCCTACGCTTTCTGGCCAAGCGCCGGAGGGTAAGTGTGGCCTTCTCCAACTACCGGAACCACAACCTACGGGGAGTGAACCCAGTGCCGGCCAGACAGCGGGCCAGGCGCAGGGTGGCCACACCGTCACGGATCCTGCACGAGGGCTTCGCACTGCCGCACCATGGACCCAACGGAAGCCGAGCTGCAGGCGATAACAACGCTCCAGGAAGCCCGCCAATGGGTGGGTATTGATGGAAGACTGGAAGACGCAGTGCAGAGGGCCTTGGGGGACCCACAAAGGGTGCGAGAGATCGCGCTTATCCCTAGACAGTTATGGGATACTACAATGGCGGCACTGCAGGTGGAAGAGCCTGGCGCTGCAGATGGTGATCCTCCGGTGCACCGGGATCTCTCTCCAGTCGAGGTGGCAAAGCTGGAGTCTTTGAGAAGGGTCTGCAACCTCCGAGTGGGACAACCTGCAGATGACCGTGGGGCAGTGTTGCCTGTGGCTCCGGCAGCCCCGGGTCCCCTCCTACCACCCGCTGGTGGGGGGCCCGCTGGGCAAGCTGGGCCTCGGCGCATTAAGTTGTCCGCGGTTTTAGACCCGACACTAGACGCGGACATCGTGCCGCTCACAGAGGGTGAGGTCACCCGAATGTATGACGCTTACAGGTTCAAGTTCGGAGATTTTCCGACGGACGACGCAAACGTCAGTCGTGATCAATTGGCAGCAGTCCGACAAGTGGTTCAGGCAAATGCCTGCCCATAAGCCGACTTCTCGGTGTGGGGTCCTTTTGGACAACGGTTACTGCGTAAGCAGACCTACCTGGCATACCACTTGAATCCGACCACGGGAGATTGGATCCGAAAGGAACAACCGGGACCGGATTCATTCCACTCCTGGTACAAAGCCTGGAAGTGCTATCGCACCGCCCTGCTATTAACAGAGGCGTGCGAGGCGGAACGCCTGGATGCCTATTCAGAAATGATCCGTAGCTTCGTCCAACAGTATGGCGAAGAGATGTGGAGCTTCGTCAGCCGAGCCGACTCCAGGATGAGGTCCGAGCAGCTGGATAGAATCCGTCGGCGTCTACGTGCCGACCCGATGTACGGCTACCAGGAGGGCACGCCTTGGTCAGCCTGCTTTGCTGCAGCGGTGCGCGAGTCCGAGTTTTGGCAGAGAGAGCTGGCGACCCCCCTCCTGATGTTTGTGGCCCGCAACAAAAGGGAGCCGGCGTCTGAGAGCAAGCCGGACGAGCGCCCGACGAATGAGGGTGTGCCGAAACGCCAGAAGGTAAGGGCAAATCGCCGCTACACCGGTGAAGACCGCTCCAAGAAGAACCAGGAGGGGCTCTACAGTGTGAACAGGAAAGGCATTGAGATATGCCACCTGTACAACCAAGGCAAGTGCGGCTCAGAGAAGGCACAGGGAAAATGCCGCAACCAGAGATCGCACCAGTGCAACAAGTGCCTCGGGCCCCATCAGGGGCTCAAGTGCAGCAAGGAGAACTGACCCGCAGACGGCGGGAGTTCGGCTGGTGGTCCGAGCTCCAAGAGGCCGCTGGAAAAGCCACCAAGAGGAGAAGCAGGTACAGAGTCAGCAGGAGCAGAGCCCGCGCCGGCCAAAAGGCCCAAGACCACGGCTTACCGGGAACCATCGGTGCCAAAGGGGGGCTCAGATGGGCCGACCGCTTCGTCGGCTTGGAAGCCACCTCGACCTAAGAACCAGGTTGAGGTCAAGAGCCACATCACTGTGGAGTATGGATGCTGGTCCTGCAAAGGTGAGGACATCAATGTTGGGAAGCCGATAGCCCTGATCCTCTTCTCCGGAAGATCCCGGCCGGGAGACTTACACAACCAGCTGGTGAACCTGGGCTGGATGGTGTGCTCCGTAGACATGGCAGCACCCATCAAAACCAACCTCCTGGACGATGGGATCTGGGAAAAGATACTGGCCGACATCCGCTTGGGGATGTATGAGGCCGTCTGGGTGGCGACCCCTTGTGGCTCATTCTCACCGCTGAGGGAGAATCAGCCGGGCCCTCGGCCACTTCGCACAGTCGAGAAGATACAGGGCAAGCCCAAAGAAGAGCTCACCCAAGGCGAGCAACGCCAGCTGCGGGAAGCCAACGTGCTGGTTAGCAGGTCCGCAACGGCGGGGATCACGCAGGTGGAAGCCGATCGCATATATTCGGTTTGGAAAATCCAGACCATGGGCCAGACCGGCCGTCGCTTTGGTTGATGCCCAGCATCAAGAAGCTGGAGGCCTGTGCAGGAATGAAATCGGTCCACTTCGACCAATGCCGCACTGGCTTAGAAACAACTAAGCCAACGAAGATCATACTGCACAAGGCCGAGTTGGAACAGCTGGATGGGCTAAGGTGCAATCACCCGAAGAGGACCTTCGAAAAACCGGACGGCTCCAAATACGAGGCCTCCCACCAGTCAGCAGTGCAGAGATGGGTAGTTGGCCCCGACGGCAAGCGTGAGCGAGCCTCTCGTTCCCAGGGAGAATACACCGCGGAACTTTCCGAGGCCATTGCTAAGGCGTTCCATCGCGCCTGGCAGGCCGGAGAGCTGAAGCGGGACCCCCTTCCCTGAAGCGAGGAAGACCCCTTGGGTCCGGCGTTGAAGGAGGGCCCAATCAAAGAGAGAGAAATGGAAAACCTCCACGCACTGGGAGGCATGCGGAACCCTCACCTGAGTGCCCAGCGGTGGCCACAGTCGGGGGCACCCGGTCAGATGGTCCGGCTGCTGTTCAGGAAAGCCCAGGAGCTGTGGCCAAACCTCAGGGACACCGCAAGAGCCATCCTGTCAGGAGAACGCCCCCCAGAACTGCCAGCGCAGATAGTCAGCTTGGTGAGGAGCACAACCATCACCTTGCTGGGCGGCGATAAGGAGTCTTGTCGCAGACGCACCGCAAAAGCCACTACCCCTATCAGCTCCGAAGTGATGGCGGCCTGGGGAAAAGCAACGTCCGACCCCGACGCAGCGACCCTCGCGAGCTGGTTGGATCACGGAGCCCCCTTGGGTTTCAATTGCCCAATTGAGACCAGGGGGGTCTTTCCGAAGGTCGGTCCCCCGGTCGACGCCCCTGACGATTTGCAGGTTGAGACAGAGCTGAGGGAATGGCAGAATTATAAGTCGGCGGAAGAGGAGCGAGAAGACCTCGACAAGCTCATCTCCGAATATGTGGAGAAGGGTTGGTGCCGGCTCCTCCCTAGCATAGAAGCGGCCGAAGTCGAGCTGGGCGAGAAGGTCACCCTGAACAAGCTCGGGGTTGTCGTGAAGTTCACGGAGTCAGGCACCAAGAAGTCCAGAGTTGTCTGGGACCTTCGAAGGAGCGGGGCGAACGCAAAGTGTCACCAAGCCGAACGGATCGTACTGCCAAGGCTGACAGACCTAGCAGCCGCAGCCACAAGAGCATACCGATCAGGTAAGGAGCCATGGCTGGTTGCTTTGGACGTCAGGGATGCGTTCCTGAACATCCCCGCGGGAAAGGACAAGGCGTTCACTGTGGCAGCCAAGCCGGGGGCGGACGGACTGAATCAGGTCATCGTCTGTGACACGCTGGTGTTCGGCGCAAAGTCGTCGCCAACGATCTGGGGCCGCTTCGCGTCACTGTTGGGGCGCTCATGGGCGTCGATCGAGCCGGCTGTGCGGGCACAGATCTACGTAGATGACCCGGCAATGGTGATCGAAGGCTGCAAAGGAGAGGCCATCTCTGCCCTTACGAACATTCTGCTGTGGGCGGGTGTCCTGGGCTTCCCTCTCAAACTCAGCAAAGCCGAGGGTGGAAAGGCCATCCGATGGATTGGGGCCATCATCAAACTGCACGACGACAGCAAGGAAGTGGAGGTGACGATCCCTCTCGAAAGGAAGAAGAAACTCCTCGAAGCCGTTATAGAGAGGTAGCGAGCAAGCCCATAGTGTCGAGAAAGGCATTGGCTTCGCTGGCAGGAGGACTTTCTTTCGTCGCAGGTCTAGTGCCACATCTGCGACCCTTCTTGGATTCGTTTTGGGCTGCACTTTCGAGTCCGTCCAGGGGTGGCATCACGAATGACGGAGCCAGTGCGCATTCCGGAAGGCTGATCCACGTCCGGAGGATCGAAAAGGCGCTCCAATGGGTGGCGGCACTCCTAGGCGAAAGAGAGGTTCCGCTAGTGCGGATTTTCAAAGTGGCCCACCCGGAGGTGACGGCCGAAATCACCACGGACGCCTCTCCTTGGGGGCTAGGCGGAGTCCTGCGCCTTAACGGAAACATAGCAGGAGCGTTCGCAGAGCAACTATCTACCGAGGTCCTCAACAAGTTCAACGCAGTGAAAGGCGACCCGAAACACACAACGCTTTGGGAAGGCCTGGCGCTGCTGGTAGCTTTTAGGCTGTGGCTCCCTGGACTAGGCTTTGGTGCCGTGGTCCGGGTGAAGTCCGATAGCCTGAGCTCCTTGTTGATGCTTTCAAAAGGAAAGGCGAAATCCTTAGAGCTGAACTGCATAGCTCGGGAGATCGCGTTGGACCAGGCACTCCAGTTGTACAGGCTGACCTTCCTGGTGCACATCCCGGGAGTCACAAACCTGGAGGCAGATTTTCTTTCTAGGATGTTTTCTCCGAAACCTCCAGTTAAGCCGAGGCAACTCGAAAGAGTCAGCTTAACGCCAGTCACTATTGGCAAGGGCTTCTGGAAGGTGAAGCGGTTGACACAACCAGCTCGGAAAAATCTTGCGGCGGGAGCTGGTGGGAGAACATACCGGCGGTTTCCCCTGGGTCAGGGTTGGTCCTCTCAGTCTGCCGCAGATGGGGAGGTTCAAGCGTTCCTTACAGGGGGGAGGACCGTATGTCCGGCCCACTCTCCCCCCGCGAAAAGGGCGGGTGTTTTGCACGAAGGGTTTGCCATTGCACCCGCCTCGCAACACGCTCCTGGGGAGCCGCCCATTCCTGCTCCGGCCCTCTCGGAGCCCGGGAGGGCAGGTGAACCAAGAGGATACGGCCGAGGCTCAGCAGCCATGGCGTTGGCGGCCATCGGTGACCCAACCGCTTGCATTGCACGGATTTGGGACGACGCTAGTGCTAGTTCCTCTAGGGGCCCGTTCCAGTCCAGGAAACAACTCTGGGAGAGCCTGGCGCGAAAGGCAGGGACACAAGACCCCTTCTGCCTGACTCCGAATATCATATTCACGGTCATGGGTGCATTGAAAACCGCAGGGTACCGCAGTGCAGATCAGTATTATATTTAGACGTAGCAAAGGCGATCCACGTGTCTTTGGGACACGGCTGGACAGAACAGCTAGCTCAGGCGAGAAGGCTAGCCATAAGAAGTGCGCGCAGAGGCCTAGGTCACCCCAAACAAGCAGGAGGTCTCCCTCTAGCCAGTTTGGGAAATTGGGCCAACCAGCAGGAGCCGCTGGCAGCAGAAGGCCCAACATGGCCGGCGAGAGCAACCTTGCTGGCATCATGGTGGCTACTTCGCGAAATCGAGGCATCGCGAGCGAGGAAAAGCCACATCTGTCAGGACGTTGCGGAGCTCAGGATCACCTGGCGCCTTCCGTCGTCCAAGACGGACCAGGCGGCACTGGGTGCATACCGTTCTCACCGGTGCTCCTGCGAGTTTGCCCCCTCGAGCATTTGCCCGTACCACCTAATGGCAGCACAGCTTGAGTCCTTGCCCCCAGGCGATGGGCCCCTCTTCCTGACACAAGAGGGAGGAGTGCCAAGCAAACAGGGTTGGGCAGACACTTTTCAAGCATTGGCTGCCAGGTTGGGTTTGGCAACTCACCACCCTAACGGTGCTAGGGCTTACACCGGCCATAGCGCCCGAGTGACGGGAGCAAGACACCTAGCATCGACCCAGGTAGAACTCTGGAGGGTCCAACTGTTTGGACGATGGGGCTCAGAAGTGTTTGTTCATTACATCCAGGAGGCGCCATTGGCACAACTGGACTCTCTGGCTTTGGAAGCGTCCGCCAAGATGTCAATCCAGGAGGCCAAGCTCCAGCTACAGGACCTGCTGCGGCGCTCTTCCGAGATGTTAAATCACCCAATTGCGTCTTCCCCGTCCGACATGTTAGAGGACTGCGAAGCTGGGATGGACCCCGCTTCTCCTCAGATGCAGGTCACGGAGGAGCTAGTCCTCAACCTGAATGCCGGGGGAAAGTTGCATCGCCCACTGATCAGCAACATCGAAGATCACCCTCGCGTTTGGCGGACAAAATGTGGCTGGCGCTTCGGAAACACCCACACTGATTATGAGTGGATCAAATCAGAAGAGGACATTCCGGCCCAAGCCCGTAAATGCTCCAAGTGTTTCCCAAGTTTAAAGCGCACCACCTCTTCCAGCAGCTCATCGTCTTCTTCTTCGTCCACCTCTGCGGATCCCGCAGGTGGGAAGAATTAGAGTCGGACGAAGTGTGTCAAGTGGCACCGAATGCTGCTCTGGCTGTGGATGGAGCTGAAAGCCCATGACCATAACAGAGCAGCGACAAACATCGTCCAACCTTATAAAAAGAGCTCGCAGAATGGAGGGTGGTGGGGAAATGCGAAACCCACTTGTCGACAGATGACATTCATGTCGAGTCAGACATGTGGGGTAGCTTGGATGAGGACAGCCTTGTCGTGCCATTTTGGCTCAAGGCTGCCAACTTCTCCAAATCGCCCGCCCTCAACCGCCCTAAGTGGCGCGTGGCACCGAATGCTGCTCTGGCTGTGGATGGAGCTGAAAGCCCATGACCATAACAGAGCAGCGACAAACATCGTCCAACCTTATAAAAAGAGCTCGCAGAATGGAGGGTGGTGGGGAAATGCGAAACCCACTTGTCTAATAAGCAACAGAATCTGTCCATCTCAGTTTGCACTGTAGTGCGCATTCGCTTCCAAACCCAGATGGATCCAGTAGTTTTCTCGTTTTCGCAAGCTTGCAAAAGACCAAGTTGCCCACCAGAGGACAACTGTTGCTCAACAGTTGCGCAGCATTCTCACGGCTGCAGTGCAGAGATCTTTGGGCTGATGGCAGACGGCGAGACTTGCCATGGGTCACACTTCTCTATCCCTAGACCCTAGATATGTGGTCCAAGTGAAGTTAGATCATACCCAAAATAACATTATGCAACATCAAAAAAAGGATGGCGATCACTTGTGTGTGTGATTGTGTGTGTCTGTTCATATGCATGTGTGTTATACGTGTTTATCCTTCACAGAAGTACACCCCAAAAAATCACCGGAGAAGAGGTGCACCTTCACTTGCATCAAAAGGCATGAAATGAAGAGAAATAACATATAGATCATATAGATATTAGATGAATTTAGATGATATCTCACAAAAGGATGTAAAGTCTGGCATGTGGCGAAGTTGATGTGTTGCGCCAGAGAAGACTATCAAAGACGGTTAATGATGTCAACTGAGATCGGCCATTCAAAAAATGTGGAATGTGTACATCCCAGCTGCATCCTGGGTTTTGATCTTGGTGGTGGATCCCGGAGCAACGGCTTTTAGTTTTTCTAGGCATACCATGATTACATATGGACACATGGTATCATATGATTCCCATGCCATGTCTCCACAGATTGGAGTAGCGCTGTAGAATGCCCAAAGATGCCCAAAGTTAATGCGTGCCGCGCAAAGACCCAGCTGATGATTTGTTACAAGTTCATCAGCAAAGATTTGCTCAACAGACTCAAGAAAAGTGGGGTTGATTCAGTTGATTCCTTCCGATGTCATTGGATCCAATCATGTGAGCGTCGCTGTCTTGGAAGCCTTATGAAGCCTTGCACAGAGTCGGGCTCGTCGGGTTCTACAGGAGACATGTCACAAATGAATATACATGAGTCAGAAAGCAATTTTGCAGGCCACCTACGTCCACCTACTGATGAATGACGAAATGATGAAATGATGAACGCATATGAACGCTTCGTCTTTACATTTCCCGATGAACACTCGCAGAAGTTTTGAGGCCCATAATTTATCAGAAGCATTTGCCTGACCCTTTCAATTGTTTTTGTTGTTGAAAGTTCATGAAAGTTCTATTTCGCTGTCTGCTAAACATACTAAACTTAAAAGTACTTCAAAAGCGCTGATTGAATTTGTTAGGCAGTCGTGGTGCAGGCTGTGCTCTGGTGTTCAGGAGGCTGGACTGCTCAGGGTGCGTGCAGTTCTGTGCCCTGAATTTACCGGGGTGGTCTTGCTTGACTTGGCAAGAGATTGATATATGGACCATGGATTATATATATATATGTATAAAAGCATGTTAAAACGATTTTAAACGGTTATTGAATAAATTTGAATACCAACTCGGCTTGGGTCAAAGTCAAACACAATTTCTCCATCACATTCTTGTGGTCTTACCAAAGCGTAAGCAGCATTGCTAGCCTCAAGTCTTCGAAGATTGTCAAATCTCAGCCGAGTTCGTCCCTGCGCCATGCTGTCTCAGCTTGCCGTCCTTGCTGTCCTCTTCGCTTCGGGAGATTGCTTCCGCGCTTCTACAGATTTGAAGGACCAGGAGTGTCAAGAGAGTCAGACCAATCCTGAATACTTCAGTGAATTGAGGAGCAACGCTTTCATCACGGAGTGCAGCAAGAAGGACGTGTGTTTACTGATGCGTCAGCTGGATGCTTACTTCTACGCCCGTGCACTCAAGGGTGAGTTGGTGGACTATGGAAAACCTCCAGGAGGCAGATTTCTGGCCAGTGGGAATTGCAAACGACCTCTGAACTCCAAGAAATTGGTTCCAGTGACTACCAAGGAAGAATGCCAAAAAATCCTTTCCAAACATACCAAGAAGAAGATGAAGGTCATCCACTCCACCAAGTACCCTGCGGGTTGCATCATGGATTTTGTCACGAAACGCGGTCGTTTCAACAAAGCCGACACCAACGTCGATGCGGGGGTCAAGTACATTCGGGTTGGCAAATCTCGCATTTCTGCACAGCGAAAGAAGACGGACGTCCGGCAGTATCTTGATATATCTTAAATATTCTTAAATTATCTTAATCAAAGGAAGTTTAGGGGGAGAAACTTCCGTGTTACGGACTTTTAGAATGTCAGGGAAAGAGTTAGTCAAAGAAAGAGTTAGTGAGGGAAAGAGTTAGTCAAAGAAAGAGTTAGCAAAGAAACAGTTAGTCAGGGAAAGAGTTAGTCAAAGAAAGAGTTAGTG